TCTCATCCATTGTGTTTGCCATTAATCAGAGCATAAATTCTACTCTAGGATATTCCCCATTTGAGATAGTGCTTGGATACAGACCACGGTTTCCCCTGTCACCAGTGACCCTTAATTCTGACCTTCATACTTTACCGAAGGGGAGTCAGGAGTACATGGATGCTTTTCTTGACAAACTACATACAATCCGCACAGAAGTACGGAACAACATTGAGGCTAATAAGGATACTATGGTTACCAGAGCAAACCAAAACTCGCATCCTTTACACCTCGTGAAAGGGGATTATGTTTACCTGTCTATTCCTGCAGTAGGCCCTGCACAGAAGCTTCAAGCCAAGTTCTCTGGACCTCATATAGTGCATCAAGTTTTCTCGGACTCTCGTGTATTACTAGTAGATCAGAACACTGGGAAAGTTTTTAGTGAACCCATTCATGTGAACAGATTAAAGATGGCTTACGTTCGTGCACCATCACCACAACCCTATCTACTTGGCCCGGTTATAACTCGCACGACAGTCTCGCCTGCTTGTACTGATCAACAGACACAGACAGACACTCATACCAAACCGGATTCCAACCAAACACCAGATCTCCAGAATCCCATGGTACATACCCCAGGTGATGACCCTTTGACCCAGAATTCTCAGGGAGGAATCCTGGACATGAACTCTACACATAAAGATGGTTCAGGGAAGCGTGAACGTAAGGTACCTGTGTTACCCGAACAAGTGCGACCTCGCCGCATGTGTAAGAAGCCTCTTCGCTATAGAGACTCTGACCATCGAGATCCTCTTTCAGTTGAAGTTAGTTCAATGTCGGACACTGGAACACTTTACAAGGTTAAGCGAGTGCTAGGACAAAGAGGATCGGGTAATTCCAAGGAGTTCCTAGTGCATTTCTCTGGGGAACCAGCTCAGAATTCTATGTGGTTACCTTGGGATGCTTTGAACACTAAGACACAAGAATTAATCAAACAAAAACCTCCCCCAATGTTAAAGTAATTTTTGTATACTACAATTGAGTTGTGTTTCTTTCATATACTGGTATTTGAAATTGCTGTGGATGCATTACTGTACATGTACTACATTTGTCTTGAGAATGTAATGAATTGTAGTATGACATGGTAATTCACCTGAAATTGGTCAGTTGATGTCAACATATTAATTAATAACATGTGTTGCATATTATTTGATGATGATATTAATTTCTTTTTTATTGCAAATTTTTTTTTACAGGAGATACCTATTTTCATGTATTTTTTTTTACATTTTCAATAATATTTATATTTTTGCATACATTTACATGTGACCACTTTGTTTGAGGTCTGCTTTATTGTGGATTTATCACTGAAATGGCATAATATTACTTGTAAGTTGTATAATGATATACATTCTGTAAATGTATACTTTAGTCACTTGGGCTCGATTTAATTGATATAGTTATGTTGTATGAGTTTCACACCATATCGATGACTTTTGTTTGCATAGGATATTGATGCTTGAAAGAGGTATTGTTCATGTCATTGAAGTCATATTAGTTTTGACTGAGTTATCACTTTACTAGAATAGTCTTGAATTCAGCTTGTAGGATCATGAATCTTGTGTACCTTTGGTGTGTGTGACTGTATCATTTATCATATTCTACAATACTTACATATGCTTTGTGATATATGGACATACATTATGGTCATTGTATATGTATGTTATACTCAGACTGCTTTGTCAATCTCATGGTTCTTATAAAATTGAACAATTTTATTTTTGTGGGGGGATGTTGTATTATTGACCATGGCATTGCATAGCAATCCGGATATTTGACCGTGCATATTTGAGTGTGTATAATTTTGAGACTAGAGAGTTCCGATAATAAAATGAAGTAAAACGTGCTTGAAGTCGAAGTCATTTGTCAAGAGAATTGTTTGCATTATTATATGTTGCCAAGCGAGTAAACATACAAAGTAGTCATTTATTAAATTTTATTAATCTAAATACCGATACAGATCGACAGTGTACATAGCTATACTATCATCTTTTGATTGAAAATGTATTATTGAATGTAATAGGGCCTATTAGAGTTTTGATAAAGAACATTATTTATAAACTCTAACATTGTTGATAATTGTACATATAAAATAATTGAGCAAAGGATGGCTGATATTTATAGACAAAATATTTTTTCATTTGTGACTTCTTCGAAAGGACGATTGTACCAGTACGTTGTAAATAATTTTGTATTACAAAGATATTTACAAAACCTATTGATGATAGATGTGAGGGAATGATCATATTCATATTTCATATTAAAATGTCCATTTTATAAAAATTTGAGAAGTATGTACATAAAGAAGTATTATCATGTCAAACCAAGTGTATTTAAAGTTATAAGATTAATGAGTAGTCAAAATGTAAAAGAGTTATCTAATTTGGGGTTTTTTTTATATAAAGCTAATGCTCTACGAAAGTCTAATTTGTTACTACTATTGATATCTATATCCTGTGTGTATTTTTGTATATAATATCTATTCTGTACTCTTTATCATGTTTATATGCTGTATAAAATCTGATTAGCCTTTGGCTTAAAGAATAAAGAAAGTAAACGCGTAAAAACAGATTATTATAACAGATTACCTATATGTGTATACCATAATTAATTATATATATACAACTTATTTCTGCTAATCCATGTGTCAGAACAAATCGTGCACACACTCAATAAACATGTGTAATTGTTTTTGAGATCTTACAGTAATTGCTTAGAATTTCGTCTGTATACACTTTACAAAATACAAGCAACCCCCCTATCCGGACCTTGACCTTTACTGATCATAGTCTCGTCTTAACTGAATACCAATCTGTCCATCTGTATCAACTAATTTCTGAACATGCTACTTTTATAACAATATTAACATTGCATGAAGAATAAACTAAGTGTAAAAATTGTAATTCAACATACAAATCATACTGATATATAGAGTCCAACTAACAACATACAAATCATACTGATATAGGGTGAATTCACCATGCATCGGATACCCTTGTACTTCAACAAGTTCTAGCGATATCGCTACCGACGGAAAATTATCAAAATGGAGTTTAGCATTTAGTTTGTGATTAAAATAACAATTTAGGACACAATTATATGCTGTTTACTGAGAAAATATCGCCAAAAATCGAGTTTTTAGAAAAAACTGAAAATTCACCATGGATCGGACATTGTTCACCATGCATCGGACAGACGGTACGGAGACCGGAAAAATATCAAACCTTTATCTCAGTGCTTTAAATTCCTTGATATGGATATATTTTCATCTTTTATCTAAGAAATAACCCTCAACTATAATTTAATCGACGATATCATTGCACAAATGTAGAACGATTCTCGAGACCTCACTCTGCCTTAGAAATGCTTTAAAATGCTTATAATGTCGCGCCTTTTTTGTCATGGTTTATCATGCTCTGGTTTGTAGAAATAAATTGAGTCAAATTCCAGACGTTATATATCAATAACTTGTATTTTGACTGAAAATATAGATTTTTTATTTTCTTTTTCCGTTCTGTATGAAAATGGTAGTGCTCACCTTTGCATCGGATGCATGGTTAATTTGTGTCCGATGTATGGAGAAATGAACATACTAGTAAAAACCAGCTCTAATAAGAATTAAACAAATATTGAAGTGAAATTTAATTATAATTTATGTAAAATTACCAATCCCTGACAAAATTCACCAAAGTCCGACTCGTTCCGTGGAAGTTGAATTTAAAAGAACGATAACTCTAAAAATTGCAAAATCATAAATTTCGGGTTATTCCCCTTTGATGATGTAAAATATGACGTAACTTCAAGGCCATTTGTGGGGTATTTTTATCCCAACATGATAAACACAATCGGTATTATTAAAAAATTTCAATCTTCATCTTTATGACAGAAACAAATAAATACACAGAACTCTTGGGATGAAAGAGAGTTTAATGCCTAAAGTTGTAAAGCAAGGTATGTGTCCGATGCATGGTGAACTCATATATAGAGTCCAACTAAAAAAAAAAGTTAAACGCAGTGTAGAACTTGATAGTTTAACAGCTAATATTACGTTCATCCAAACGATTTCGACACTTTTTATAGTTTTGATGTTATCGATAAAATTATATGAGTATCCATGTAGGACAGGAATGGATCTTATCCAACACGATACCTGGCACAGTGTCAGAGGTCATGACACTGACTTATGTTATTTTGATATGGTAATAGTCAAATAAAAAAGGAAGTAAAGAAGTTTGGTCTAGTCCATAACTTGAAAATAATACAGATACAGAAAAATGTTGTACTTGAAACAGATAACATACTAGTATGTACCTTTTAATGGAACTTATCATAACAGAAAAAAACCCACCCACAATGCAATGCTTTGACCATATCTCTTATATATATAAAAAAGTGACTTACATGACTATGTAAATTACAGGATCAAGAAACAAACTTAGACTTAAGTCAAATTTTCGATCACCTGTAAAATCTTTATTAATTGCTGTATTCATCTCAAAATTTGCAAAGAACAGCACATTTGTGAATAAGTATTGAAACTTATTTTAATTTTGATCCACTTGACTTCCACAACAATAAAGTACAATATGAAGATTTTTGCTTAAGCTTAAGATGCTTCATGATTCTGGGACTGGCAGGTAACTTGAATACAAATAACGATCACTGCATTCATACGTCGGGAAAAGTTCAAAACTATAAAATAGGTGTGAATCAAACTTGATCATCTTTGACTTAGTCACTATCTGGTGAACACGACTCCTTGGTAGATATAATTCGCACAGACTCTGGTTTGTCTTTATTTAAGATTTTGTAATACATTTGTTATGGCATTTGATAAAAAGATCTTAAAAATGTAAGGTGCTAACTCTAAGGAAATCTGAGGATTCCATTAACATTTGTGATTCATTAAGAATATGCAATAATATTGCACCAGCAGCAGTTCTTCAAAAAGTATTTCTCTTCTATTCAGTATCGCTGTTTTCTTCATTTTCATCATCGATGTATAGATCGAAGACTTTTACTAATCCTTCGCACGAATAATCAGAGTACAAAACGCAGAACTTTTTCCCTTCACGATCGAACCTCAGAAAAAGTGGCTGTAAATCTGAATCTTGGTCTAAAATGACTCTGGACGCTGTCTCCTCGCCTCTAGGGACTTGCAAAACCTCGTAACGCAAAGTCTCGCAGACATACACATTACCGTAGTGATCTATATCCAATCCACAAAAGCTCTGGGAATAACTATGATTATCCGATTCCGCCCTCCCGACAGACTGGCTACCCGCCACATCTTGCCAAAATATGCTCTGGTGGTTATCAAAGTATATGCGTCGTCCGTCTTTGGAGAGCGCAATCTCCTGACCATTTATGGGTCCTGGGAGAAAACGCAAAAGCTTTCCACTTTCATTAAGAACTGCAATGCCTTCATCACTGCGACACAGTCGGCAGTAGAACTTATTTGAAAAGAAGCGAAATCCTGCAATCTCGATGTTAGTTTGAAAGTGTCCAACCCGCTGTAACTTCATCCCATGAAATGTAAATGTTATGATTTTCTCGTCGCTTGTGAGGACAAACACTCGTTTTTCCTCTTCATCCAAACAGATTTTCGATAACTTGAAGTCATCATTACCTGGTAATTCATATAGAGTGTACAGGTTTTTTTCGCTCAACGCTTGAATTTTTTCGGGCTCCAATAGCAAAACGGTACCGTCCGACAAAGGAACACAGTCAGAACAGTATCGTGACACTTCTTCGTCGTATTTCGCTATTTCCCTTGCTTCCAATTTTGACGGATCTACCTGAGTTTTTGGTTCAGAGTCATCAAACTGAAAAATGTCCTCAAAGGAATTTAGTGCTTCAGAAATTTCATCAATGCCAACTGTTTCGACGTCGTTTTCGTCCAACTGTGCTATGTATTCGATTTTGCTCATTTCCTCAACCTCGGTGTTCAATTGACAGTCAAAATCAAATTGTTTTCCGTATTGCTTTTCCAGTCGTTCAATTTGTTTCTGAATTTGGGACTTTACTTTCAAAACGGTGACAAACATTTGTCTACGCGTTCCCCGTATTGCAACGATTGTCAGCAATTTTTCAGCCTCTGCGACTGTTCTAAGAAATGCTTCTAAATGTTTTTTGGCAGAAGCAAGGTAATTTACTTCCTTTCTCTGCGTTTCTTTCAGTTTTTCGTTAAAAATATCACGCATTTCTTCTAGCTTCTTCTTCATGTTGTCGACAGTTGATGAAACCCTTTTGCTATAATCGACGTATTTCATTTCATGACCTTCTACTGCCTCGTTTACAGGGATCAGAGCCGAGTCTGTCTTTTCTATGACAGATACAACGTTAGACTGGACTTCCTTTGGTACTTCGTGTGTATTCTCCTGCTTAGCAATGCTATCAATAGGCTTGACTTCAGAACAAGCTCTGTGATCGGTTACCATACAGATTTTGCAGCAGAGCAGCTTGTGCGAGGTGCAGTATTTCTCCAGGATTTCATTTGTATGCAGAACACATGTACTGGTAGTGTTCTGGTTGTCGTCTTCGACTGCGTGCTCTAAAATAACGTGTACCTGAAATCCCTCTATACGACGGTGGACATAGGAGTAGCACATCTCACAAAGATTCTCATTGCAGTTCTCGCAATGATACGTCGCTACTGTATCTTCCGTGGCTCTAAAACAAGGGTCACATTTGTTCCCGCCTCTGCCAGCATTCGACAGCGACTCCAGTAAAAAGTTGCGAGGCAAAGATCGTATCCAATCTTTCGCTGAAAGGTTTGAATTTGGCGCCAAAACTTCATCGCCGCAAATAGGGCATTCAACTGAACATTGAAAATTCTTATCTTCTTCACCACTTTTACATACGAGAGCATCGATACATTTTTCACAGAATGTGTGAAAACAAGGTAAAATTCTCGTGGAAGAAAATTTATCACCACAAACTGAGCACAAGAAGTCCTCCCTACTCGTCTCCATCTCCACAAACACAGAGTGGGCGTATAATGAACGCTTCAATACTTAGGTCGTTCATCCTTCTAAAGCTACCAAATCATTATTTCACATTAACATTGGAGTTACCCTTCTTGGCAAGTTTAATGAAATAGCTTATACCTCAGGCGATTGACCAATTGATAGTTCTACAACTTGTGATTTGCACTAGAATGTCGGGAAGTAAAAAAAAAATAAAAACTGTGTAATCAAATGAATTTTATTTCACATGTTGCAAGTAAATGAATGACAGCACTATTAAATAGTAACAAAAAAAATGCAGAATGTACAATGTATAGTTTGAACTGTAGATTCAATGATCAGTTTTCCTCTCCAAATCGAATGTGAACTCGGTCCAGGTTCTCCTTGTTTCGTTTCTGTGCTCTGTCAATTAGCTGAAATTAATAATTAAAAGTTGGAAATACTTAAATATTATTAACCCCCCCCCCCAAAAAAAAATCAAAATATTATTCCTAGTTGGGGAAACTGAGAGAATATCTAATTTTAAAAAAATCTTTAAATTTTACAGTTGGCATTACTTTATTTTTTTTTTTTATTTCATAAGTATTGACCTCTGGTAACACTATACCTTCTTTTGTCCACTCTTCCCCTGCTTTTTCTGTTTATTTTGATATTTCTTCATCTTATCTGACTTTAGTTTGTCCCAGTAAGCTTCCTCATCAGCTCCTGTAATCCAAAATCAACACAATATGTCAGGAAGAATGAATATCTCCTTAAAAAGATTTAAGAACCAAAAATACAACCTTAAAACTCTGTATGAATCCAATTAAAATTACGGTACACCTATCTTCATAACACATTATAAATATAATAGAGACTAATGCCCTGTTCACACGGAGAGTTTAATTTGCAGTAACTTAATGCGAAGTAAACTAATGCGAATTAAATTGTGTTCAAACGACAGCTAAAGCGAAGTAAATTAATGCAAATTTCTACAATAAGGCTAATCAGTAAGGCTATTATGACATCATTTGTAAAATACATCATGTATGCATAGCATATCCATATCATTATGACTGTATACATTTCAGTGATTAACATAATTTTCCATTAATTTTCAACCAAAAATAGCACAGACACATAAATCTAAGCACCATGTGGCCTGTGACTAAATTTTGGTTCTACGCATGCGTCAAAACTTAATTCGAATTAGCTTTGCTTAGCGTTCACACGGAGCTATTGCGAAGTATTTTAATGCGCAGTAAGTTAATTCAAATTAAACAAATTCGTATTAAATTTTCCGTGTGAACGCTGATCAAATTTAAGTCATAGTAACTTACGTTTAATTCAAATTAAACTATCCATGTGAACAGGGCATAAGGAGAAATGCAAGCATAATGTATTTTTTAACAATAATGTATTTTTTAAAAATACTGAAAATACAAAATGTCAAAATTTTTCACTGGCTCATTGGTCATCCATAACCTTTTTTTTTCAGACCTGGCAGAAAGCTACAGATCTGCAGCTTCAGACAAACACACAAGAGAGTCCAAAATTTTTTAAAATAATTTTTCTTTGAAATAAAATAAGTTTCCAGCTTTGCAGTTCTTAAACACACCACATGATCCAAATATTTTGACTTGTCAACTCCAAGATACATCATAATGACATAAATTTCAACATTTGAACTATTTACCAGTGAGTAGAACAAACTGATATTGGGGCCAAGAATGCTCCACGGTCTTTGTAGCACTAGTGGCATCCTTAAATCTAACATAGCCCTCCTTTTCTCCTTCTCTTACGTCTACATAGGCCACTTGTACTTCCGAACCTAAGTCAGTCTAAAGGATAGAAATAAACAAAGTACATTATTAGTCAACACAGTGAATACTGTGATATGTTATCAGCTATTACTCGCAAAGTAAGAATCAGTTAACAAGTACACTCGCAAACAAATGGGCAATGTAAAAATTTGATTTAAACAAATATTCTGAGAGATTAACATCATTTATAATATTCCAATGATAGAATAGCAATATCATCAGATAATTCAATCTAGATTTGAGATGGATTTTTGGATAACATGGTTCCTTTTTCCAGTTCAGATCAGGGTGTGAATTCATTTGAATTCTGCTTACAATTAACAGATAAGAGACTTGTATCACTGACCTTTAGCTGCTTCCTGTAGACTGGTGAACCACTGGTCAGATGTACCACAGTTCCTGGCATCTCCACTGTAGGCTTATCTGGCATCTCCTCCGTTACTGCATCTGGAGATATAAAGTATAGTTCCTTTATTTTGTACAAAAACTCATGACAAGGCCCATGGGCAATAATGTTTAACTGAGTAACCTTGGTCCTGCTGGTCTTTGCAAGATATTTTGTCTAGACACAATCTATTTGATGTGTACTGTTAATTCTGTTCACCTACCTGTGTTTTCTTTTGGTAAGTCTTCTTTCTTCATGTGTTGCAGAGTCTTTTTTAACTTGTTCATGCTCATCTTTTGAAGACTTAAATACTCTTTCTTCAGTTGTAACCATTCCAATCTATTCAAGGAAAAATGTACAAGTATTACTGCAAACATTTTCAGTAACTGATAATTTCAAGTTGCACCCTATATGTGATCTGTTTTTGTTTTTTTTTTGTATAATTCCTATAGGAAAACTGTCCTTGAAGTTTATGATTATGTAGATCTTTTACTGGATATTTGCTAAACAAAATTGATTCTGCGAAAGTCTTACTTTGGCATCACTCTCAGCTCTGGCAGACACTTCTCTTTGTGTTTCTTCTTCCTCTTCCTCCTCTCCTTCTTCTTGGCTGGACTTCCTCTTCCTGTTTCCTCCGTCAAGCTTACCTCAGCCACTTCCTGTTTTGTCTGTTGTGCATCTGTATCCTCCTCCATTTCTCCACCTGAAGTCTTCTTCTTGTTTTTGATCACCCTT